ATGAAATCCTTAATTAAAAGGTGCCAAATAAAACCATTTAATGCTGTGCTCTCAATCCAATTTTGCTGCGTTTGTTTTCTTGGATTCGAGTCAAAAATGCCACATTAGTCATGTAACACTGAGTGTAAAATACCCGATTGGGACTTGCTGGCTCGAAGTGGGAACAAATGTGCAATCTGGGTGTTTCACACAGTACTCTCTGAGTGATACATTCCGAGGTTTGGTCAGTGATGACTCCAGGGGGAGTCGGTAATAAAAATCCCACTCGCTTTTCAATCGCTGCCAAATGTTTGATATTATTGGTCACTTCTCTCGCAAACATATTTAGTATTCCTGTAGCTCGCCTCGCAAGCGAGAGGACCCGGGTTCGATTCCTCACACGGGACAGGTTTCCTTACTCCACACACACGCCTCTGTTTCCCTCTGCGGTAGGTAGGAACCCGGCTTTTTAGACGATTCAGGAAACTTGCCAAACGTAACGTACCTGGGAATCAAACCCGGGCTCTCTCACTTGTGAGGCGAGCTCTCTAACCGATACGGTACAGGACTGAACACCTTCCCAGTTCCAAAAAAATATTGTATTCCTCTGAATTATAGACAGACGTTAGACTTGACCTTTTCATTTGCAAAATGTCACTTACAGAAGTTTCCGAGCTGAAAGGTTACTGCTCAACTTCTCCCAGGACCAAGCTATCGTTTCCAGTTTGTATATTAGATTCACGTCCAGCTTTCTGTTTTGCAACCAATATTGCATCCTGCACACGGCTGCAAACACTGATTACCCCCCCCCCGCCCCCACCCCCGCCCCGCTAGACTGACTCCCACATCCACTTTCACTTCCTACACCACTAATCCTTGCATTTGATATAGCGCTTTTCAGGTCTTCTCGACGTCTCAAAGCGCTTCACAGAATATGCTGTAAAGTGAATTGACTGTATATTTGTGGGCGATAACAACAACAAATTATGTTTGGATAACACCTCTCACGGTCGGAGGACATCGCAAGGCTCTGAAGTCAACAACAACAACTTGCTTTCCTATCGCGCCTCTCAGGCAGGATAGCGTCTCGGAGCGCTTGACGGTGGTGGAGCCTGATGCCGACCCAGAGAGTGGTGGGGCGAGTGGGGGGGGGATCCTTGTTTCAACAACAACAGTAACTCACCCTGACCTTCAAACCTTTATTGCCTAAAGGGTGGGGGCAGTGGAGACTGAAGCCCCGACCGCTGATGGTGGGGCTGGGGGTCGTGGATCAGGCCGGAGCAGACAGGTTGTTCTGACTCAGAGGCGAGAGAGAGAGTCCAACCCGCTGAGCCAGGGTGACACCCGATGGCGCTGGTAGTGTTATGACTGTAGATTGCTGTGCTGGGGCAGCCTCAACAAATCAGGGGGAGTGTGAATGACACCCAGCGAGGCTGAGAGGTACTGGTGCTGTTGGACATGATGTGGACACACGAGATCGGGAGCAATCCATCTGCATCATTCCCCCTCTTGTTCATCTTCATTCCCCTCACAGAGGCCAGTAACTGATGACGGCGTTGAAATCTTGACTGATAAATTCAATCAATATTCAAAGCGAATGCGCACTGATAGCTCCGAGGCCGGCCGGGCTATCACAGCCGGAGGTGGGACACTTCACTCAGAACAGATTTCAATCTGAAAACAGAACACGGAGCTCACTGTAAATTTCCGGAGCGTCGGTCGAGGGCGTTGACCGACAATCCCCTCCGTAAGACACTCCTCCTTCACTTTGCGACCGCTTGCGGGACATTGGCTGCGACTACAAAACACCGAGCAGTCACTACGCTCGACAGCAAATCTCGTGAAGCGCTTTGAGACTTTCCCCCCCCCCTCATTGGCGTGAGAGACGCTGTATCGAATGCAAGGATTATCATTACACGGAAAGACTGTCCTGCAGCTTCTCTTAGACACGCTGAGAGAGCGAGAGAGGGGGAGAGAGAGGGGGAGAGAGAGAGAGGGAGAGAGAGAGAGAGAGAAAGTTTGCACCGTAACACGGAATAGACACCGCGGTAAGAAATAAAATGGAATTAAACCATTAGTTCGAGTCGAAGGACTCTGATGGCAAATGGGACCGAGTTCAAAGGAGCTTCAACAGTGCCACCCGTTGGCAGCGCACAGCACTGCAGCCGTTCACCAACCGACGAAGCCTCGGGGGCGTAAGAATGAGCAAATAATCAAAGGATAAGTCCCATTTTGCTGCTGCGCCGTTCGTGTCGGGGGAACGTTGTAAGGGACTACGTACCTGTGGGCGAAATGCGGCAACGCCGCACGCAAACAGCCGCGGATTGGGGGGGGGGTCAGTGCCCGACATGATTTGGGAGATAGTCAGTGGGAGAAACTACCTTCTCTTTTCGAAAAGTTCCGCTGAATACTTTTACGTGCAGCGACCACCTGATCGGGTTTAAAGTCTGATTATAGTGTGTGTGTGTGCGGTTTGAGTGCGTGTGTTTGGGCAGGAGGCTGGGGCGAAGCTCGGGGCTCTGTCGGAGAGCCAGCACAGGCGATGATGGAGCGACTGTTCATGTGGTTCTGTCTATACTCAAAAGATACGGCCGAGTACGATGTGTGAGGAACAGAAGGAAGCTGGAGATAGCATTAACAATGATTACTCTCAGGCCGTGGAAAAAAAAGAAATGGTTTGATTCACACCGTCATCCTTGATTGTAGTGAGTACGGAAATAGTCCTCAGAAACATGTCTGCTCCCAGACTCGCTAACTGCCTTGAACACAAAACTAATGGGTTGCTAATTGAGAAATCAATATGCATTATACATCTGACACTCATCTGCGTACAGGGTGCCAAGGACAATTAATCAACCGGTTGATTAGTTCATAAAACGAATCAGAATAAAAACGTAATGGATTAAGACCTCCAGAGTGAGAGAGTTGGCAGTAACTGAACTTTACTTCCCTGTGTGCCCAATCAAGACATGATTGAGGAGTGCTATCAAACAGAGTCCTGTAGCTCAGTAGTTAGAGCACTCACCTTGCAAGTGAGAGGACCTGAGGTCAATTCCCAGGCAGGGCGAAATATTGGGCAAGTTTCCTTACTCCACACACCTCTGTTTACCCCGCAGTAAGTAGGAACCTGGTTCTTAGTCGACTGGTGAATCGCTTTCCGGGCGTAACAATCCCTTCAAAGAAAAAATAACCTTACACTATATTCTGTGAAGCGTTTTGAGAGTCTCGAAGACATGATAAGGCGCTACATCAAACGCAGTGATGATTATCATTATCAATGCGAGGATTATAATTGTATCCTGTGCAATCCCACGTCTCCCCTGAGGGGCGGTAAATGCTTTCAGACCACAGAGAGCGCTCACACAGGGTTGAATTATTGGACTAATCTCCCAGACTCACAGCAAAGCAGTAATGGGATAATGGGACGTTAGTTCAATCAAACACAATCTTCGGCTTAGAATGCTCGTTTTACGTGTAGTAAAACACTTCGCTTTCCAGATCGCATCAATTTGATGCTTAATGCAGCCATTTACACAGTTGATTCACTTTAGTTTATTCTGTGAAGCGCTTTGAGACGTCTCGACGACGTGATCAGGCGCTATATCAAATGGAAGGATCTTGAGTGCGTGGGGAATGATAGACAAGCAGACAGAGAGGGAAAATTCTAATGCGAAAACTAACCTGTTTTGTAAAAAAAGATTTATTAAGCTTAACAATCATTGCTTAAAAATATACAGTTGTACATAAAAACATCAAACTTTTTTCCACAGTAATGTCTCCTCAATATACAGAACAATGGAGTGTGCGTTACTGAAATTCAATCATTTACAATATTATAAACCATAATTAATATTTAGAAACTACACAGAATATTATCAGCCCAATAAATAATAATAATAATAACCCTTGCATTTGATTTGGCGCTTTTCACGTCTTCTCGACGTCTCAAAGCGCTTCACAGAATACACTGTAAAGTGAATTGACTGTATATTTGTGGGAGAACGCAGCAGACAATTGCGCACAGCAATGTCCCACAAACAGCCATGGATTGAAAATGACCAAATTATTATTGTTTTGTTTTGGAGGGATTATTATTAGGCTCTGTGCGGGGTGAGGAAACTTGCCCGAGGTTTCGCCCTCTGCCGGGAATTGAACCCAGGACTCTCGCTTGCAAAGCGAGTGCTCTAACCACTGAGCTACAGGACTCCACATATCTACAGCACTCCCAACCCCCCAACCCCCACACAAAAAGGACAGACTTTTGCATTTATTTAAACCGAACCTTTTAGGTTGTAAAACACAACACATCGACAATTGGATTCCAACTTTCAATATTTTTTAATAGAAAGTGTAGATGGATCAATTTATGGATGGAGGGAGGGAGGAAGGGAGGGAGGGAGGGAGGGAAGGCAGAAAGGAAATCAGTGGGAGGTTAAGGTCTGAAATTCTACCTATCAGACGCTACTGTGCGCAATTGGCTGCCGCGTTTTGCCCACAAAATAAAAATATACAGTCACTCCACTTTACAGTATATCCTGAAGCGCTTTGAGACGTCTCGGAGACGAGATAAGGCGCTGTGTCAAATGCCAGGATTATTGTTATTATTATTATTAAGAAGTGGGGACTAAGATTGCCGTGATCTCGGACACTTTGTGACAGGTACGAAGCTACAGAAGGGGAGTTTACACCCCAACAATTCAAACCATTCAAGTTAATAGCCAGCAATCATCTGGGATTCCCCCCCTCTGCTCATCCCTCTTCACCCCGACTCCCACACCCCCCCACTCCCTCGCTTCCGCCTGCCCACTCTATAAGGATCGCAGTAGTGCAGTGGTCTACTGAGGGTGACTGAGATTCGCGGGTCTGTCATTACCTGCACTAGGAACATAGGAACAGGAGGAGGCCATTCAGCCCTTCGAGCCTGTTCTGCCATTCTAGAAGATCAAGTCTGATCTGTACCTCAAGTCCGATTACCCGCCCTTGCCCCTGAACCTAACAAGAAAATCTATCCACCTCAGTCTTGAAAATTTTGAATGGATCCAGCCATAATCCAACTAAAATACCAATGGACAGTGGAGGGGGAAGCTGAGGCGAAGGAGCTTTACACAATGTGGGGACAAGAGCGATTAACCCTTTCTGCTGTGACTCTCAGCAGTACTCCTCGCTCTGAGCCTCCAGGATGTCGTTCAGGTCAGCGAAGACCGAGCTGCTGGACATCTTGCGGCCGTTGCTGGAGAGATCGAGGAACTCCTCGGTGGAGCTGGGCGCTGAGCTGATGTACCTGTCCCACACCCGCTCCCCTGCCTCGTGCTCCAGCAGCTTGGGTTTGCTCTTCAGGCTCCGCTCCAGGTTCTTCCTCTTGTGCTTGAACTCCAGGATGGTCTTCGTGTAGGTGTTTATGGTGGTCACTGAGGCGGCCATACAGCAGGTGAATGAACCCCACGCCAGACTGTGACACAGGAGCAGATATACAGTCAGCAGCAATAATAATAATTATAATAGTAACAACAATAGTAACAACAGTAATAATAACAGTAATGATAACAGTAAAAATAATAGTAATAATAATAAAAATAATAATAATAGTAACAATAAAACAGCACGCAGCAGTATTCAAAAAGAGAAGGGAGTTTCGCCCGGTCAACAATCCGCCAATTCCTCCTGCACTTTGCTGTCTGAGGGACGTTGCTAACGTGTGAAGCCACAGAGAGCGCGGGGATGATATCACTAACCAATACGACCATCCATAGTCCCAGGTCTGTGGCCTCCAGTCTTCGGGCCCAAGATTGACTGTCATCTGAAACACAGTCGTGTACATCATGTGGGCCACCATCCCCAGGAGACCTGCAAACACAGCACAGTAACATCAGCACCCCCACCCCGCCTGGGAATCAAACCCGGGTCCTCTTGCTCGCGAGGTGAGTGTACGGCGTCGGCGGCGTTGTTGCTGTTGTTGCTGAGGGCTCCTAACCGCTGAGCTACAGGAAGCCCGACACCTGGCAACCTGGTGGGTCACAGCGTCCCTGGGACCCTCGTCCAGGTGGGATTTGGGAATTGAACGTAAGACAGTGGTCAGATTGCAGGTGTGTGCGCGTGTGCTCCGAACGCTGGTTAACAGCCGCAGTTCCCAATAACCACCCGCAGGTGGCGGCACCAAACCAACAAAAGCCCTCACACCGGACAGAATCCACTCAACGCTGCTCCCCGACAGTGTCGCACTAACGAGGCTGTGCCTCCGCCAAACAGCAGTCACCTGAGAGCCACCGCCGATAAGTCAGCGAATCCCCAGAATAAACTGCTGAGCTCCTCGCAAGCAGACGAGGTGATTGGATTTCGCCCACCAAACACACAGTCACTTACACTTTGCACTGAACGCCGCGAAGGGCTTCGAGTCGTCCCGACGACGTGGTGCGGGAACCGGCTGCGTCAAACGCACGGATTATTATTGCAGATATTAAGGGGAAAAGTTCGCCCGAGCCGAGATTTGCTCTCGTAACGTAACATTTTTCCAGAATTAGGCGAGTTCTTAAAATACAGCCTTGGATTTTGAGACCAGGGCTTCTGTGAAGTTTCCTGTAAGAAACGCCACGGAATAGCAGCTCCGGAGACGGAATTGGAACAACTTGCCAAATTCTGGATGCTTTGAAATGCTATTTATACAGCGTCAATCTGGACCCGGGTGGAACGTTCGGGTGTCGAGGGATTACAAGGCAAGGAACTGGAGTTGAGGTACAGATCAGCCATGATCTTATAAAATGGCGGAACAGGCTTGAGGGACTGAATGGCCTCCCTATTTTCCATTGGTAATGTGCAAAATGTGTGATCTTTAAATGGAATTCCTTATTTGTTTATTTACTTACTTATTCATTTAATAAATATTAATCCTTGCATTTAACATAGAGCCTTACTCTGGATGTTGCATTTTGTTTGTTGTTACTACGGTATTGAAACATCTCAAAGTGCTTTGCAGGATTTAGTGCGAAGTGTAGTGACTGTGTGTTTGCAGGTGAACGCCTGTTTCAATCAGGAGTATGCGAGTGCTTTGTACTTTAAGCGCTCTGGGACACTACCCAGCCTGAGGGTCGCTGTATAAATGCAAGTTGTTGGACTGAGGAAAGCAGGGAAATAGATTTGCAAATGTCACTTGCAAATATTGGAGATGTTTGTGTCCTCAGTGAGTGGACGTGTGTCAGTCAGACTGTGTGAAGCCAACGGCTCTCCTCCAAGCAATGAAATATTGATACCGAGATACAATCTGCAAATGTCAAGGCCACAGAAAAGTGAGAGGGAGAAAGAGGAATAGAGATAGAGAGAAAGTGAGCAAAAGACAGAGAGAGAGAAAATCAGGGTGAGAGCGAGGGAGAGGAAGAGAGGGGGAAGGGAGAGAAAGAGAGGGAGGAAGGGTCCTCGCCCCCAGCGACAGTCTCTTTGAAAGCAAACAAGGCTTACAGAGTTGTGTTGTGTGTAATTCATCTTTGGTCAACGCAAACCATCCCAGATTTAGACCATCCCAGTCGATCGCTGGGACGAGGCACGTGGTGCTGTCACTCGCTGCTTATTGGAGTCGATCCAAATGTAAGTGTTATGTTTAGTCGGTCTACACAGACAGCACAGACATGGCTTAATTACTCGGCAAGTGCACGAGGCATTAAGTGTCTCCTGTGAATAGCACCTGTGTTTAATTGGCTCAGGTAAAGAGCTGCCAAACGCGGAGTGCTTGACAGCAGCACAACTTATGCCTATGTCGATTGCAAAATAAAACTGTTTTAAATAGAGTCTGACTGCCAAGAACTCTTATATATATATATATATATATATATACACACAGACCCAGGGTGACCCAAAAGTCAGGATATCTAAAAAATGTCTATTGGCTGTTGGTTGTCTGATGGCTAAAACAGGAAATGAGACACCCAACTTCGGTTGCTCAGGGACCCACTGACATGACTGTTAGGGGCCCCGGAACCGAGCTTTGTCCCTGGTCCTGGCCAACGATCCCCAGGATAGAATTGGGACGTTCGTTTGTAGTTGTTTGTGGGACAATTTGGCTTCCGAGTTGGCCCACAAAACACACTCCCACCACTTCACCATCCCAAATAGAGGGATGATTCAGTAGAATTATTATTATTATTAACAAATGCCAGAATTATTTTATAATCAACTGCAGATCATGAAGATATTTTAAACGGTTGAAAAACCCAAATGGCTGTGATATGAATGTGAACCATGGATAATAATAATAATAATAATAATCCCGGCATTTGATACAGTGCCTTATCACGTCTTTGAGACGGCTCAAAGCGCTTCACAGGATATACCATAAAGTGCTGTGACTGTGTGTTTTGTGGGCGAAACGCTGGGAGGATGCGATTCACAACTTTTGTTTCTCTGAAACTGACAACCACTCAGCCGCCGATGCCAAGACATGGAAGGTCGAATTTTACTGTGAGGAACTTAATGTCCTCATCAATTTTATGCCTCGGTACTGGGAATCTTGATGAGCCAGCCGGCACGGGTGTGAAACAAGTCCCAGCGTTACTGTTAGAAGCTTATAACTCCAGCAAGAAACAGACGCAGGGCTTCAAGGTTGGTGAAGCAGTATATCACTGGGAAATATGAGGAAAAGCGGTGATTTCCCCGCTGACTGGCACCGGAGTTTAACTGTTCACACAGCTTACAGTTACGGCTGGAAACGCAGCGTAAATATCAGCAACAGGGACGGTCTGGTGTGTCAGCCTGGCTCAGTAGTAGTAGTCTCGCCTCGGTGTCAGCAGGTTGTGGGTTCATGTCCCATGTCGGACTTGAATTCACGGTGTCTAAGCTGACACTCCTACCCAGCATTGAGGGGTGTGTTACATTGCCAGAGATGGCATCCTTCGATGAGATGTTAAACCCACCTTTCCTAACAACCCTGTTCCGGTCATTAATTATCTCCCTGGGGAAAGAAACACTTCCTGGTATCTGTCCTGAAATTGCCCCCTAGCTCTTCTCATCCTGCTGTATTGGTGCACCTCCTCGTCAGACCACAATGACCTGTTTCCCCACCAATGTGCAGCATCCGAGACGCTATCCCACCTGAGGGCGCTGGACACCACGGCGAGTAGCCGTTATTGTTTCCGTACTGTAACGTTCTATGTAATTCCCAATGGATTATTTGAGTGAACCAGAGTAAAAGTGTTTGGCAAGAGCGAGAGACATCATACAACAGGATTACCTGACAGTACAGTGAATATGGCAGCAAAGGCGTTCAGCTTTAGACCATCAATGACATTGGTGTAATGGCAGATCTCAATGCACATGAGGCTGAGACCAACCAAGAGCAGGAGGATATACAGTATCTCAGCCACGATAGACAGCCAGAGGACACCTAGAAGAACAAATCAATACGATCAATGTTCTAGCAAGTGTGTAATCCCAGTGACAGTCATATCTAACCACAATCATATTCCTTGCACCTGATGTAGAGACGGCAACATCCAAATCTTTCAAAGTGCTTCGCTGGGATCTGCTTGTCAGAGGGCTGGTATATACTTGTAGGTAAAAGGAGAAGCCAATTTGCACAATGTCCCATGAACAGCCATGAAACACACAACCAATTTACCTGGGTTTTTTGAAGGGATTATTACCCCCGGAAAAGTGATCCGCCAATCGACTAACAACCGGGCTCCTACTTACTGCTAGTTGAACAGAGGTGTGCGGAGTAAGGAAACTTGCCCAACGTTTTGCCCTGCCCGGTAATCGAGCCCAGGTCCTCTCACTTGTGAGGTGAATGCTCTAACCACCGAGCTACAGGACTCCACAGAACATTACTCTACTTCCAAAGTGCTTTGTTTCATCAAAATGTCCTTCCTCTGATCATTGGCATCCTCTCGTTTACTGCTCTCTTCCTCTGATTTTTTTTTTTGGAGGAAATGTCTATCGAAGCAGCACCATCGAGGGACTTGTCTCGGAGCTGTCAGCGGCTGAATTAACATCAGTTAAAGTTAGATACAATAACCAGGGGTGCCTTAAGCTGTGACTGTGGATGGTAATTCATCTCTCTGAGCATCAGCATCAAGCGGACTTGTTGAGATCAGATGTCCTGAGATGGAGATTTTGTTCAAACGAAAGAACAGAACAAGAAGAATAAAGTGTTCATCTCTCCTAGAAGTTTACCAGCAGTAAGTAGGAACCCGGTTGTTCGTCGATTGGTGCATCGCTTTTCCGGGGGTGTTAATCCCTTGAAATACAAAAATAATTATAATTTGGTCACTCAATCCACGGCTGTTTGTGGGGACGCTGCTGTGCGCAATTGGCTGCTGCGGTTCGCCCACAAAATGTACAGTCAATTCACTTTCACAGTATATTCTGTGAAGCGCTTTGAGACGTCTCGAAGACGTGATAAGGCACTGTGTCAAACGCAAGCATTATTGTTATTATTGTTATAAGTGATGTGTAACAGATTTATCAGGTATGTTTTACAGGTGGCAGCTTGGCTGTTGATAGCCTACTTGCCTTTGGGTTAGAAGATTGTGGGTTTGAGCCCTATGTCTATAGGTTGAACTCTGGAGTTCTTTGCGCAAATTGGGTGCCACACTTGGTTACACAGTCACTACACTCAATAGGGATTTCTGGTGCCATGTTCTGGGCTAATAATCCTTGCCTTTAACACAGCGTCATTCACATCAGGAGGATTGCCTCAAAAACACTTCACACGATTTGAAGGTTGAACGTGTGTATTTTAATAGACGAACACAGCAGCTATTTTTGCATCCAGCAACGTCCCACATTGGTATTTTTTTAAAAAGCTTTCCCCAGGAAAAGGTATCTGTTGAACAAGCCGAGAGCTGCAGTGAAGCCCCTGATTTATTTCACATGGATGACAATCCTGAATGCAGGTTTAGTGCACCGGCTACCAGATAGCCTGACATTAACGAACAGCCATTAAAAGGAATGATAATTTAGGAAATCGTGTTTTAATCCAATTAAAATAAAATCATAATGTGTCCAACAGATCGAATTGCCCGTTAATCTGTACAAGCCGGAGTTTGACAGATTTGCCAGTGAAAAGGCTCTTGATCTCACAGCGCCTTGACGTGGGACATCATAACTCCTGTGAGCTCTTGTCACAAGCCATGTTGAAGCCATTAACTTTGAGCCAGATGTGCTGCAGGGATCATATCTTCAGCCTCTCTGCCTGACTCCCTGCTCAGATACGTCAGTGTCTTGGGACGTGAGTGGAAATCAATCTCAGGCCAGCCATGTTCAAAGAGGCAAGATATTCTTGCTTTGTAAATTCTATCACACACCTCACTCCGCACAGCTTCATGGCTGTAGAGCACAGCGAGGGGAAATCTGTTGCAATCTCCCGTTCAATAACTATCCCGGACAAACAATCCCTCAGATAAAAATAAATAAACCCAGCATTCATGGCTATGTGCGGAACGTTGCTGTACGCAATCCACGACTGTTTGTGGGACCCTGTTGTAAACAATTGGCAATTGGCTGCTGTGTTCCGACCACACACCTGTACAGTCAATTCACTTTACAGTATAGAAGGAAGGGAATTTCTCTCTCTCTCTCTCTCTCTCTCCGGTGTCCTGGCCAACAACCCCACAAATAAAATTGGCTGTTCACTTTGTGGCTGTCTGTGGGAGGTATTGCTGTGCGCAAGTTGGTTGTTCTGTTTACCTACAAATACACAGTCACTACAGTTAACAGCAGTTACTGTGCAGTGTAAGTTTTGATGTTATAGCTGCGTTATAATAATCAGAACCCTTGCATTTTTTTCCTGTGGCGCTTTTCACGTCTCAAAGCGCTTCCCAGAATATACTGTAAAGTGAATTGATTGTATATTTGTGGGAGGAACACGGCAGCCGAACAGTTGTGGATTGAAGTCACCAATTTTATTATTGTTTTTTTCTCTTGAGGGATTATTATCAGGCGTGTGGAGTAAGGAAACTTGCCAAAAGTTTTCCCCTGCCGGGGGTCGAATCCAGGTCTCCCGAGTGTTCTAACCACTGAACTACAGGACTCCACTTATGAATTGTATGGATTATTAGTAATTCAAAAGCCTTTATTGAGAGAAACAAAAGGATTCACGACAATCCGTGGCTGAGCATCTCTGTCCAAATGGTCTGAAATATATTGAGGGCATGAATCTTTCCTGACCCATCTGTTATCCCTGCGAAGCCGCTCCACATTCATTTACTGTAAATCTCTCAACTGCTGGATAACTGCTAAAGACCAATTTTGACAAAACGTCCGATGACTGTCCTTCTCTTGCGCTGAAGGCACTGCCTCTCTCTCCCAGGGTTACAGACCGACCCACAGACCCTGGAATACCCTTGTGTGTCAGCCTGTGCTTAACATTCTCCAGCATCTCGACCCACGACTGTTTGTGGGACGCTGCTGTGTGCAATTGGCCGCCGCATTTCGCCCACAAAGGAGACAGTCAATTCACATTACCAAACTGTGCAGCGCTGTGAGACGTCTCGAAGACGTGATAAGGCGCGGTATCAAATGCGGGGATTGTTATTATTATTATTGACGAGATGGCTAATCAGCTGGAAGCAGAGACAGAAGTGGTCGGGAAGTGAATCTTCCCCCCCCCCCCATCCAAAAAAACTGACCTCGTTCAGCAGGAGGCGTCAGATGGATGAAACTTCGACACCTTTCCCCTGTAAATCACAGACACCGCACATCAGGACATCTTTCTGCATCAAGTTACATCTTTTGTTAAAAAGAAACAGAGCATCAGCTGCACCGGACATCGGGATTCATGTACAAACCGAGATTGGCGTAAGATATATTGTCGGGGTCTGGGAGGGGGGGGAGGGGGGGGAGGGTGGGGGTGCAGCCGGGTGTCTGACACGCGCAGAAACCCATCACCATATGCTTAAGAGTCTACAAACCGAGCTGAGATTTCCATGCATCCCACCGACACGTGGGAATCCCCGAGATGGATTGTTGGAACAGAATCCGCGCCCTCTTTCTCTCCCTGGGGGGGGACGGGGGGGGGGGACACGCACCCTGCTTACCTAAATCCGTATAGTTTTAGGCGCGTTTACATCCATTCAATGTGACTTGGTGTATCGGGGGAGCAGAGAGGAGAGGACACAGAGACAGACGGAGAGAGGGAGAGGGAGAGGGTTGCCCGATTTGCGGAGTTAAAGGATATTCAGTGAGAACAGAAATGCGTGAGCTGGTGACATTTAAAGAGCCTGGCATTTATAATCCCTATTTTATTGTCTGTTTGCAATTGACTTTTTTTCCCCAGCCTCGCCAAGGTCGCTCCCTTGCGCGGATTAAAGGTGGCTGTTGATCGCTTTTACGGTAGCTGGGGGCGGGAGGTTTGGGGCTCATTTCTGTCTCTCCCCCAACCCCAGGTCCAACCCCCACTGATACCCTTTAGCAGAGATTGTCTGGAATTGGATTCTCAGCAGTTCCCGACCCCACTCCCACACACACCCCCCCCCAACCCCCCACACACACACCCACCCACACTCCACACACCGCCCCCCCATACACACACCCACACAAAAAAATTGAAATTGTTGTTGTTATTCCCCCCCCCCACCCCTCCGTTGCATTTCCCTCCAATTTCACCCACAAAATAACAGTCACTACACTTTACAAAGATGTGATAAGGCGCTACATCAAATGCAAAGATTATTATTATGGCATCAACACATGTAATTAAACCTTCCCAAAGGCTCCATCTCCCTACATGGAGGGGTGGGTGTGAGGGAGGGAGGGAGGGAGGGAGTGTGAGGGAGATCAGAGCTATGCTAACAACCCCTGATATACACAGATCGGAAGGAGATGTGGGAGAGAGTGAAAAAAGGAAGAAATTACCCCCAAAAAGCAAAGGAAACCACCAGAAAGTTCTGAAATATGATCAGAAACGTGTGAGTGAAACAGTTTCACATTGAAGGCAATTTTCCCCATCCAATTAACAGGTATGTTGTTTAATATTAAACACACACAGTCACACAAACAGTCACACACACACACACACATATACACAAACAAATACACACACACATATACACACATAAATACACACACACATATATACACACAAATAGACATATATACACACAAATAGACACACATATATACATATATATATGCACACACACGCAAACAGACACACGGACACATATACACACAGACACACACATATACACACAGACACACACATATACACACAGACACACACAGTGGTTAAAAGAATACATACATATGGAGCCACTTGTTAAATGTAAAAGTTGGAATAGTGGGATTATTGTTGTCACTCCATGGGGTGGATGGGGTGGATGGGGTGGGGGGTGGATGGGGTGGGGGGGGATATACAGAGGGTGGGGAGGTTGGGGGGTGAGGGGTTTGGATATAAAAGCTGACACCCACCTTCCCCACTGATGTTCTCCTCACAGGAAAACCAGATCCCGGCGTGGAAGTAGCAGACCACATACTTGTCCTCGCCCGTCTCCCAACTGTATTGGACCACACCACCGCTCTGGTTGGAGGAGGCACCGTTGAAGATGATGCAGTTGGGCTGTTTCTCTTTGACACTGGACTTGCAGAAAGGCTTCACCACTTTCCTGGTGCCCTCACACCAGTAACTGGTGCTGAAGGCTGTGATGCAGAAGATCAGGGCGATGGAGTTGAGGGTGAGAGCCAACGAGGCTCTCTGTCTCCTGTCAATACCCATTGCAAGGGAAGGGGTGGGGGTGGGGGGGGGGGAGAGAGGGAAAGGGAGGGAGGGAGAGAGAGAAGAGAGATGGAGAGAGACAGGGAGAAAGAGAGAAGAGAGAGAGAGATGGAGAGAGACAGGGAGAGAGAGAGAGAGAGAGATGGAGAGAGAGAGATGAAGAGAGAGAGATGGAGAGAGAGAGAGAGAGAGAGGAAGGGAGAGAGAGAGAGAGGGAGGGAGGGAGGAGGGGGGGGGGGGGGGAGGAGGAGGGAGGGGGGGGGTTGAAGTGAAGGGAGATGAGCAACACACACTCACTCACTCACACGTGCGGTTGGAAGGGTCAGTGAAGGCTCAGCCGATGCTCCTCACGCAGCTGAAGGTGGTTGTGTTGTCCCCAGAGCTCTGGGCAGAGCGGACTGTCCATCCTGTGTGTGTGTGGGTGGGTGTCTCCCCCCTCTCCCCCTCCCTCCCTGTGTGGTACCCGGGATACTGGGAGCAGAGATGGGGCTGAGCCTCGGCAGCTCCGGGGGAGGGAGGACCTGCAGCGAGTGTGAGGCCAATCAGAGGCGCCTCAGTCCCACCCCCCGAGGGCTCAGCGCAGAGAGGAAACAACACGAGCCTTAGGGTTCATCTTCCACCAACAACTCAACAGGTCCCCACCATCCGCCCACACACCGCACTGAGCTGATCAGCGCTGTGTCTCTGTCTCTGTGTGTCTGTGTGTGTGTGTGTGTGTGTCTGTCTCTGTGTCTCTGTCTCTGTGTGTCTGTGTGTGTGTATGTGTCTCTGTGTGTCTCTGTCTCTCTGTCTCTGTGTGTCTCTGTGTGTGTCTCTGTGTGTGTCTCTGTGTGTGTCTCTGTGTGTGTCCCTGTGTGTGTCTCTGTGCCCTGTGCTCTGGTGCTGTTAGTTGTATCTCTCTCTGTGTGTGTCTCTGTGTGTGTCTCTGTGTGTGTCTCTGTGTGTGTCCCTGTGTGTGTCCCTGTGTGTGTGTGTGTGTGTCCCTGTGTGTGTCCCTGTGTGTGTCTCTGTGCCCTGTGCTCTGGTGCTGTTAGTTGTATCTCTCTGTGTGTGTGTGTGTCCCTGTGTGTGTCCCTGTGTGTGTCTCTGTGTGTGTGTGTCCCTGTGTGTGTCCCTGTGTGTGTCTCTGTGCCCTGTGCTCTGGTGCTGTTAGTTGTATCTCTCTGTGTGTGTCCCTGTGTGTGTCTCTGTGTGTGTGTGTCCCTGTGTGTGTCTCTGTGTGTGTGTGTCCCTGTGTGTGTCTCTGTGTGTGTGTGTCCCTGTGTGTGTCCCTGTGTGTGTCCCTGTGTGTGTCCCTGTGTGTGTCTCTGTGCCCTGTGCTCTGGTGCTGTTAGTTGCTCAGCCTCAGGGCTGTTGAGCACAGCTCAGGTTTTACCGATCACTGTCCTTCGGTGGAATTCGGTGTAAACATTTTTAAAGAGGGAGGAACATGTATACACCCACACACACACCCACACACACTGACACACACCCACACACACACTGACACACACACACACACACCCACATACCCACACACACACCCACACACACACCCACATACCCACACACACCCACACACACACTGACACCCAAACACAGTAACACACACCCACACACTGACACACACACACAGTAACACACACTCCCACTGACACACAGGCTCACACTGACTGACACACACCCACACACACACCCACATACCCACACACACACCCACACACACACTGACACCCACACACAGTAACACACACCCACACACTGACACACACACACAGTAACACACACCCACACACTCCCACTGACACACAGGCTCACACTGACTGACACACACACAGTGATACACACACACACAGATACACACACTCACATTAAGAGACACACACACACCAAGAGATGATAATAATAATAATAAGCCTTGCACACAAACACGCACTTGCCCACAGATGTACCTACACACACACAGAGGGTTGTTGAAATATGGAGTATTTTGGTACAAAATGCCTGGAGTGGGTTAAGTAGATGGGATATAATTAAAGGGTGAGAGAAGACGAGAGTGGAGTGGGATTCGCAGAATGTACTGTAAAGTGGAGTGACTGTATTTGTGGGCGAAATGTGGCAGCCGATTGTGCACAGTTGTGTCACCCGCCAATCGACTAACAACCGGGTTCCTACTTACTGTGTTTCTCTCTGTGTAAACAGAGGTGTGTGTGGAGTAAGGAAAGTTGCCTAACATTTCGCCCTGCCCAGGAATCGAGCCAAGGTCCTCTCGCTTGTGAGGTGAGTGCTGTAACCACTGAGCTACAGGACTCCACATATAACACACAGTGTCCGGTTCTGGTGTTAATATTCAGTTGTGCGCTTGTGTGTGAGGTTCTCTGTAATGTTTAATTTAGTTGGCTACAGTGTGCCTCCCTTCGCTGCTTATGATGGGTATGATTGTCATCGCTGGTGTCTGAGCGCATTAAATGATATATAATTACTGGCCACCTCCCTCGGAGCGCCTTTTGAAGATGAAAATGAAGTAGATCAGACTGGAAGGCAAGCACGGTGAGACGGCCTGTAGATGACGGAGGGATGGGAGTTTATGGGTTGCCAACCCCACATGCTGGGGCTCACTCATGTATAAAAGCATTTCCACTGTGAGGAACAAGACAACAGGAAGGATTAAAACACAATCATCAAGCTATTCTGTAGCTCAGCGGTTAGCACTCTCGCCTCGCAAGCGAGAGGACCCGGGTTCGATTCCCGGGCAGGGCAAAACCTTAGGCAGGTTCCCTTACTCCACACGCCTGCGTTTACCCGGCAGTAAATAGGAACCCAGTTGTTAGCCGATTGGAGGATCGCTTTCTGGGAGTAATAATGCCTCCCCCCAAAAACTGTGGTCACTCAATCCACGAGTGTTTGTGGGGACGCTGCAGTGCGCAATTGGCTGATGCATTTTGCCCGCGAAATATACAGTCGATTCACTTTACAGTGTATCCCGTGAAGCCCTTTGAGACGTTGCGAAGACCTGATAAGGCGCTGTATCAAATGCAATGATCATTATAATAATTGTAAAGGCTTGTGGCCTGAGATCGTGAGCGGCATGTGCTGCTGTTATTATAAAATAGGGGCTTTGCTGGCTTTGCCCACGTGATCGCTCTCACACTGAATGTGTGTAAATGAATCGCTGTGACCTCAGACAGAAACTGGAGGAATTGCGATTTGAGGGAAAGTAGCAGCGGCAGAAGTCAGCTTTAACACCCAGCAACAGCCAGCAGAAGTGTGAAACGTTACACAAACCGCCCATTCGTGCCCAAGCCGCAGCGCGATGAGGAAAATCCAAATATATATAACCGTTATAAAGTTTGCTCCCGTGACAATTCACGTTCGCTTGTGATTCCCACTTTCTCACTCTCTCACGGGCTCGAGCCACGAGGCTGAATCAAGCATTTAATTCCCTGACCCAGGGAGCAAAATGGGGATTTGTGGTGTCAGCCTGATGCAGTGGTAGTGCTCTCTCTCTCTCTCTCTCTCTCGCCGCTGAGTCAGAAGGTTGTGGGTTCAAGACCCCACGTTGGGACTTGGAATCGCATCGTCTATGCTGACGCTCCAGTGCAGTGCTGGGGATGTATGGCGTTGTCAGAGGTGCCGTCCATCACACGCTCTGAGACGCTACCCTGCTTGAGGAGGGGCTATATCAATGCAAGTGGTTGTTATTGTTGTCCTTTGCATGGACGTTAAGCCGATGTCCCTGTCAGCCTGTTCAGGAGGACCTTAAAAATCCCCCGACGCTATTATGATACGATGGGGCAAGTGGCCTCCTTCTGCGCTGTACGATTCTGTGAATTCTATGATTCTATGGTGATGTTTTATCTGAAGGACAGCACCTCGAGCAGTACAGCTCTGCAGTGTCAGCTCCAGATGGTTCGGCCCAATTTTCACTCAAAGCCTTTGATCCCGACTGCTACCAATTGAGCCAAACTGACATCTAATGGGAGACTGAGACTGATCTGAGAACGTGATTCTCATCTCTGATGAATCGAGTCATTTTACTGTCGGATCAAGTTTGGATGAGTTTTACTCAGCCACAGAACAACAACAATAATAATAATTATAAGAATATTTGAATTTGATACCGCGCCTTACCAGGTCGTTGAGACGTCTCAAAGCGCTTCACAGGATACACTGTGAAGTGGATTGACTGTGCATTTTATGGGCGAGGGATTATTTCCCCCGGAAAGCAATCTGCCAATCGACTAACAACCAGGTTCCTACTTACTGCAAAGTAAACTGAGGTGTGTGGAGTGAGGAAAGTTGCCTAAGGTTTCGCCCCGGCCTGGGAATCCAACCCAAGTCCTCACACGTGCGAGGCGAGCGCTAACAATATTCCACAACAGGACAGGATAACATCATTGAGAAGCTAATTGGGGAGCAGGAAAACGAAGTGGGCTTTACTCCCTGTGGACGGTTGATATCAGAGGGAAGCCTTGAACCTACCTGTCTCCTGCCCTTCGAGTGTAAATCACTCCAGTGAATCGTTCCCATTCTGTTGGGATTTAATGTGATTGGAATCTGAAATATTACATTTAGATAAGACTGTTAGTGGCTTGGAATATTTTCGAGCTCTGAATCAGATGGGCTTATATAAATCCCTCGGGCTGATAGCTCGCTGAAATATCAGCAGGTTTTTTTAAAAAATATTCTTCATATTTGCTGGTCCTTCGAGTTCTCGCAAAGGAGTTATCCCAACCGCTTTACTGCTGGTAAACAGAGGGGTGTGGAATAAGGAAACCCGCCTGAGTTTTCGCCCCGCCCGGGAATCGAACCCGGGTCCTCTCACTCGCGAGGCGAGTGCTCCAACCACCACCCCACAGGATTCCACAGCCACTCCTCTCTTCACGAACTTGCTGTTTACCAGTGCTCGGAAGCCTAGTCTAGACGGTTATTTTACAAATAGAGCAAAAACTGCACAGATACGAGAGAGCGTTTGATCCACCCACACTGCCGTTTAATCACAGAGCTCACTTTCACCTCTA